CCCGGAAGAAGCGGGCACCGCGGAGCACCTGCATGATGCGAGAGCTGCCGCGGTCCTGGGCCGAAGCCTCGTGGTGGTCCTCGTCCACATCTGTCGTCGCCTCGGGGATGGGCAGGGTGGTGATGGATGGCCGTGTTCGCGACACTGAGTCGGCGACGGCCGCAGCTGAGGGCTCACGGGGCGTGTCGAGGATGTCCCAGTCGCCATTCTCCACCACATCGAAGTACATGTCACCACCATCGGCAGCAGCAGACGCCTCATCTCCGCCTGAGAAGGGCGTGGGCAGCGACGGTCGGCGCCCCGCACGCTCCTTGGGCACTCGGCTGCGTGAATGGGAGGGGCTGGCGCGCTCTGGGTCTTCTGTGACCGTCTGGATGGGCTCGTCCATGACAGATCGGGATGTTGAGAGAGCACCAAGCGGCTCAGCGTCGAAGAAAACCTCCGCAGATCCACGGCCGATGTCGGCCGGTGGCGGCATAGAGGGCACCGGGACCTCCTGCCGTGTCTGCGACCTCTGCTGTGCCGCCATTGCTTCCCCTCTCTCCACACGAAGGGGTTGCAATGGCGGTGATGGTGGGGCGGTGCGGGGCATGGGACGGACGGGTGACGGGGGGGCGCTGCGACGCATTGGCGGCGGCTCTAGTGGTGCGACGGGTGGGGGCCGAGGAATGCGGACGTTCGGCAGTGGTCCAGCGACAGGTGGCTGCTCCATGTTCATGAAGCCCTCCCGAGATGTGCTCTTGCGCAGTATCCTCTCGACCCACAGCAGTGATACGAGGCAGCAGGCCCATGCAGTCGCCATAATCGACGCCACCGTGACGAACAGCACGTATGCCGTCCACCGATGGGCCCCCAGGTAGGCTCTGATGGGGTAGAACCACATACGGCGTCGCATCTCGAGAAAGGCCCGGTCGACAGGGATGGCCGGGGCGAGGCGGATGATGGCGCGGCCGAGCCAGTCGGGGGACGAATAGGGGAAGCGGTCAATCAGGAGAACGGTGAAGGTCCGCACGTCATTCCACAGGCCCAGGGCAACCAGGGATCGCTGCACAAAGTAGTCGAAGAGCTGCCGGAAGAGAGAGGGCTTCGCTGGCAGGAGGGATCGTGTGGAGCGTGCCACCCGCCGGCCGTCCCGACTGATTATCTCCATCGATATGGTCAGGGGCAGCTCGAACGAGTTCAGCAGCCGCCTGGGGACGAGGAACTGCACCGACAGGTCCACCTCCACGTAAGGCCCCGAGTTGATCTCCACCCTCGGCAAGTAATATACGGGCCGCTCCACGCCCAAGACTACCTCGGTGTGTGCCGGCGGCTCAAAGTCCCAGTTGCGGTGGCTGAAGGGCACATGCGCCTCCGTGACCGACATGGTGGATCCCTCCGGCCGGTAGAGGTCGAGCTGTGTGTCGTCTGTGCCGTATGTGAAGTGGATGGGGAAGAGCTGTGATGCCGATGGGAAGAGGCGGTCGACGACGCTCCAGTAGGCGATGGATGACGCCATCAGGGCCAGGGGCAGGACGATCAGGCAGGCCCCGCACAGCCGCGAGCATAGCAGGTAGCCCTCCACCGCAGCCACGCCCGCCCCTCCGATGGCCCGGCTAATCATCTCTCAAACCACCGTGGCAATGACCTCATCCATTCCCTG